CGTATTGTCGTCGGTGGCAATATGTACCTACCCCATTACACATATTGTCGTCCATCGGTATACATATTGTCGCCAGTGACAATTCCTTACTTTCCTTCTGCATAATGGACGATAAAATAAATGTACAGTCAAGCATCGGCACATGCTGTCGTCGGCGACAATATGTACTGTGAACATTTGCAAATTTTGTCGCCGATAAATTATTTCATACAATTATTACTGCTGTTTTGAGTTCAATACGATGATTTAGCCACCTGAGGAATACAATATTCACTGAACCCGAAGGGCGAGATGAATATTGTACATCGAAGGTGGCTAAATCATCTCATTGATCTCAAAACAGCAATAATTGTTTTGATATATAATTCAATGATGAAATGATATAAAATCATTAAGCAGTTCATGCCATCTTACTTGTTACAAGTCAATTGCAATGAGAGAATCAGTATTAAATAAACGTTACCAGTCGTATTAAATTGGATTTTTGAAATCAACTTTAGTTGCTATGATAATAAAAGAAATAATGTCAGGCTCTTTGATAGCATCGATTTCGGCGGGGGGGGGGGGGGGGGGGGGCAATGGGGGCATTATCAGGGGAAAATCGTTGATTAGCCCAACGAAAAGAGAATTCTCTTTACTTCAAATTTTGTTTGATGTTTGGTGGGGTTAGGGGTGGGGTGTTGCAACCACTATTGAAATAACGTTCACTATTGAAATAATTTCGTTATTTCAATAGTGGTTGCAACAGTGGGGTATTAAGAACCATTAGTGAGGGACCAGCCTTTCAATGAACGTTTTTATTCTAATTGAATTAAAAGTAAAAATTTTCGTTCAGGAAAAAGTGTTGGGGGGGGGGGTCCCTTCCACCCAAAACCATCCCCACCCCAAATTATATATTCCCTAATGTTATGTTCACCTGAGTGGAAGTCGGTAGCAAGTGAAATAGCTTTCCAAAACTATTGGTATCAATTTCCCGATCCATTTTTAGACCAATGTAGAGAACATAAATCCTTATATTCACCTGGAAAATCACATGCATATGAATATAACGAAGTGTTTTTTCTACTTTGTTGAATCTCAGCCAATAGGAGATATGAATTATTCAATTGTGTAATCATAGAGAATATTTACTAGGGCCGTGAAGAGATTGACAAACACACTCATACAGACACGCACGGACGGAGACAGACAGACAGTAGAATTACTCGCAATAATGAAGGGAGAAAATTTTGTGGTAATTTTTTTTTGTCAAGGATGGGTGTACACGACTATGATTTACAAAGATTTCAGAATTCCTGAATATTCTCTTTTGTCAGTTGTCATTATATAGAGTTTTTGAGTTCAGTAGTAATATGTATCTTGATAATATCTTTTGCTATTCTTATACATGTGCCAATGTAATTATGGATGGTGGTCGGGGGGGGGGGGGGGCACATTTTAGCTCACCTGAGCTGGAAGCTCAAGTGACTTTTTGTAATCACTCTTAGTGGAAAACAAACAAGAAAAGCCAAAGATATGGTAGAGTCATTAAAATCTTTTCAGTAACCACAAGACCAAAAAAAGCTGAAACTTTGTATGGAAGCTTCCTTACTTGGTGTAGATTTTAAAAGAACTGCAAAGCCATAATTAAGGAACCGTACTAAAGTGGAAAAATCCAATAGTAGAGACTAGAAATATTCATTTTTTATCAAATCACGTCCGCTGTATATAGGGTTGGGTCACAAAAGGCGATCAGAAATTTACATCTGAATACATGTACAGTGTGGGGGGGGGGGGGATCTTAATGTAGAACAGCAGACTAAAAGTTTTTCAGGTAACCCTTGTGGCCCATGACCCTTTTGATTAAAACCTGCTTCCATAGAAGCTACATGTATGTGATATTGGTTAAATCTTCAAAAGCATTGGATATCAATGTACTTTTTAAAAGTTAAATCAATAGTAGGATGCAATTAATTTCGATAGATATTTCAGATATTTTAAATTAAAGAGATATTTCATGTATGTACAACCTGTCTGCTACCAAGCCTTCTTAACTTTCCTCATCATTAGCATTATCTTAATATGTGCATTCAGGGTACTCAAATTTTGTTGTATGCCTGCAATAAGATATACCGACAGACGACAATATGTGGAGTTATGGAAGGTACATAAATGTCGCCGGTGACAATATTATACTGTATCAAAAAGGAAGATCAAAAAGCGTTTCCACGAACATTTTACATGTATACTTAACCGATTTTAGACATCGTTCAGGAAAAAGTGCCCCCCTTCCCTCTACGGGTGAAATAACTTTTCAATCTAATTTTATCCATTAGGAAGTTCTCAATTTATTTTTTAGTCCAATGTAGACAAAATTCATGAGCTGCAACAACGTAGCCCTCTCCGATTTTTTTTTTTTTTACATCAGATGAAAAATATTGAAGAGAGCTACATTATTGCAGCTAAAAATTCATATTTCCACCTGGAAAGTCACGTGCAGGTGAACTTAAAGTTCTTGTTGTATTTTTTCAATCATATTGGATCTCAGCCAATCAGAGAGCTAAGAATATTAATTCACATAATAATAATGATGGCCTTTGCTTTCCTTCATACTATTTTTTCTTAATAATCCTTGTAATATGTTCCTTTTTTTCCAAGACAAATCTCCCACCTTTTTCTTTATAATTGATACATTTCAGCACACCAAAGTGCTTGCTGGGATCATGACAATTACAACTGTCATGGTAACATGACATTTACAATTGAAGTTAGTAGTTAAAATTATTTTCATATAAAAGAATTATAAGGCTTGTAACCTCACACTCATAACCAGATATCATTGAGATGGTTGCCATCTCAAAGGGCCCCGCTTTCAAAACCGAACATGAAAAGGTAAAGTAGCTGAAAAGGGTTTACTTTGAAGAGGAACATTTGTGTACTATTAAGGGATGTGTTGTTTGAGTCTAAAGGGCTTCTATGTCATCCTTGTTATAATAAAAAATGGCATAAAAATCACGAAAGCTCCATACCCTCTATCAAAAGACAGCACACAAATCACTAATGTTGCAGATTCTCTATGAAAATTGTTGCATATCCTCTATCAAAATATAGAAGGAAAATCACAAATGTTCCATACCCTAAGTCAATTGATAAAGTTTGAGGCTAACTGGAGTCAAAGGAAAGAAATTATGCACTGAACAAAGATTTTAGACAGAGAGGCTATTTTTGACCTTGACCCTTGACCTAGAAACTTTGTTCAAGGTCACTGCACATCAATTGACCAGTGGCACTCTGTGAGTGAAGTATGAACCACATTGGACCAAGAGGAGAGAAGATATGCTCCGGACAAGGATTTTTCATATAATTCTGCTATGACCTTAAGCTTAGACCTAGAAACATGGTTCAAGGTCACTGCACACCCTTCACCCAAAGACACTCTGTTAGTGAAGTATGAGCCAGATTGGGCCAAGGAGATAGAAGATATGCTCCAGACAAGAGATCTCGGACGGACGGACGGACGGACAGACTGATTACTATAGGGCGCCCGCAGAGCGGAGCCCTAATTAATTAATAATGTCTGGCAACATGCAAGTAAAGAAATTTTGCTGAATATTTTAAAGTACTGTATATACTCCTTAAGGATACTATTTCATGAACCTTTCTCCTTCCACACAGGCCAACATTGATATTTGTGAATGCATAAAGTAAACAATTCTATGGCATGTCAAACGTTGCAATATTCGATCTTTTCCATTTGTATTGTATAACTTTCCATTTGTATTGTATAATTTTTATTTGTATTGTATAATTTTTCATTTGTATTGTATAATTTTTCATTTGTATTGTATAATTTTCAATTTGTATTGTATAATTTTTATTTGTATTCTATAATTTTCCATTTGGATTTTATAATTTTCCATTTGGATTGTATAATGTTTATTTGTATTCTATATTTTCCATTTGTGTTGTAAAAAAAATCATTTGTATTGTATAATTTTTCATTTGTATTCTATATTTTCCATTTGCATTGTATAATTTCTTATTTGTATTGTATAATTTCTTATTTGTATGCGATAATTTTTCATTTGTATTGTATCCGAGGATTGTTTATTTATTTCGTTACGAAGGATGTCATTGGTCATAAAATTTAGTCTGTATAATGGTCTCAGGTGCCCATCACAATTTAGTCTGGTACCCTTCCCACAATTCCGATCGCGCACTCTCTACAAACACAAACTCGGCTCCTCTATTTGCGGTGCATGCTAAGGGACGACCATTTGATTCTCGGGGGGTGTTGAATCCGATTATTTATTTTCATTCTCTCGCAGGAGAGAATATTTATTTCCAATATGACCAGAGACAAGGAGAAAAACAAAAAGAAGAAAATCCACCCAAACCCGAAAACTCAGTTTTTTGGGGGTGGGGGTAGTTACCACCACTCAAGGTCAATTTATTTATTTTCTCAGTCAGCATTCCTAAGGACAGATTATTTATTTGCCATCTACCAGCGCTCCCTTTTTAGAATCCAATGACCGTCTAACATGCACGCAAATACATATGCCGCCGAAATATGGCTGAAATATTGCCGACTCGGCGTTAAACAATAATCAATCAATCAAGCAAGCAAATACATATGAGCCCAGTTTGCTTTGAGCATCCGGAACATCTTCAACCCGATACAGACTGAAACTTGACCAATGAAATCCTTCGTAACGAAACAAATAAACAGTCCGCGGGTACAATACAAATGAAAAATTATCAAATACAAATAAGAAATTTTACAATACAAATAAGAAATTATACAATGCAAATGGGAAATTATACAATACAAATAAAAATTATACAATACAAATGAAAATTATACAATACAAATAGAAAATTATAGAATACAAATAAAAATTATACAATACAAATGAAAAATTATACAATACAAATAGAAAATTATACAATACAAATAAAAATTATACAATGCAAATGCAAAAGATCGAATATTGCAACGTTTGACATGCCATACAATTCAAGACAGTGACATGTTTTATTCCATTCTTTGCATAGTCATTTCATCGTGAAAGCATTTGTACATACATGACTGTATAAAGATAAGGAATTATTTTCACTGACTGATTTAAAAATTCTTTAAATTCTCAATATATGAAAAAATATTCCTTTACAACTGTTTCTATCAAAGCGCTTAACATGAATGAACCTATTAAATGAATGCATTACTTATTGAATGATTATTTGATAAATTGCTCTATTTAACTTCTTTAGTTATCTAAAGAAATATGCACTCTGATTTAACAAAAGTATATACAGATTTATACACAACATAGTTTATATATACCTTTCAAACACTAATTCCAAGACTTTCCCAAACTTTCTTCATCTTTAAATCAAGAAATATTTTTTTTTATTTCTCATGCTCCAATACATAAGTGTATACTAGTACAACACAAATAACACAGACAAAAATATTGTTAGACAATCTTTTTTTGAATATTGCTGCATTGTACTTTACACAGGTACAGTCCTTTTTCTTGCAATTTTAAGTATAATCATAAGCATTAATTTAATGTCCAAACAATAAAAAGCTGTTTTGTTGGTGTTACACAAGATGTGATGGTTTTTTCAACATTGCCCTTGCTCTACATGTATACATGATGGAGGAAATGTGATACAGGGAACACAGTTGAAACAAAAGTCATGCATGAACATGCATTTAATATAATTATTAGGCAAGAAAATCCATTTCCAGATCTGTGTTGTTGTTGACAACTTGACATAATATTCGAAACTCTTTCAACTTCTTTTCTTTTAATCAATGTCTTCATTTTTTCTTCCTATATATTGATTTTAATTTTTTGATGGTAGTGCTTTGGGTGTTGTTATGTGAAGATATATCGGAAATAGGCAGTCCTCTTTCTTCCCCTGTCGTTTGATGTTTTTAGGTAATATCTGAAAAGAAAGCATCGTTCATGAGCATTTAAAGCAATGTAGGAAATATCAACAAAAAATACAACTAGTTGCCAATTTTTGTAATTGCACACCCCGCATCCGAGATGTAAATTGCATTTGGCAGTATTCTAAGTTTGTCAAATGGCACAGAGTATATGTGAAATACCAACTACAAAATCATGAACTTAGTAGGCATTCAAATGATAAGCATATTAGAAACTTAAATATTATAAATCTCACAGAATGAAAAGACAACAAAGATTTCCATAGGACATAAATGCCCAGTCGCGAGTATATTAGTAATGCAACATTAAAAGAGCTATATAAATCCCCCCCCCCCTTAAATGTCATATTTTTTAAAAATTCTTGAAATGTCCTGAATTGTATATATTGCATGAACTAGATGTCTCGAATGCCATGAATGCCTCTGCAGTTAATTTCTTAATTTTTTCTAAGTTCAAGAGAGATAACTTTGTCAAAAATCATCGGACCATGATCAAATTTGAACTTGACCTGTATTTTTTGGTAAAATACCTGCATATGCAATTTCAACCTTATATATACATCCCTACAAAAGTAAGAAAGTGGAAACTGAACATTTCTATTTTTTCTAAGTTCAAGAGGAATAACTCTGTCAAAAATCATCGGACCATAACCAAATTCGACCTTGACCTGCATTTACAAATATATCCATATGTCAAATTTGCGTTGAATGTGTGCAACTGTTGCAGAGATAATGAATGGGAAATGAATGATGATGGAATGACAGAACAGAGTAACACTATATTCCCCTGGCCATTTTACGGCGGGGGCAGAAAAATCAGAATTAACAAAAAATATCATGGTTTTGAAGCAGGTCATTGACAATTTTCGTTTCTAGGACATCACAGACTATTTAGATTTTGTGTTATTTTTCAGAAAGAGGACAATATGTACACAATTTGTTCAATTTTTACTCTAAAATTTAAAAAGCGCAAATCTGCTCAATAACAATATTAACATATTTCACTGATACAGTCCATTATCATTTTACAAAAGTTAAGGAAAATTTGACTATAGGTCATCTTCCTGATGTCATATCTAACATATGATGTCATGGCTGATAAAAATATATCCACGTGTTTTAGAACATAATTATGCATTTCTCTGTCAAAGTTTGATTTTGGGGGCAAATATCAATTGGTCATTATCAAATAGTAGTGTATGAATTTTGACTTTTACTCGACACTCAGGGCCATTGAGCAGTGAGGGATCTTTATAATGCCAACGCCTGCTGTGACACGGGGCCTCAGTTTTTAAGGTCTCATCCAAAGGACCCACAACTTTCACTTCAAAGTGCTGATCGCATGGCGAAGGAACAGTTGCTACCCATTTTTTTATCGACTTAGGTCAGTCGCGGCCAAGATTCGAACTCACGACCTCCCGATCATGGAGCGAGCACTCTACTGATTGAGCTTCTGTGAACGGTCTTCAAAATTGAAATTGAAATCTAAAAAGAAAGATATAGTTGATAAATTCTCACCAAATTCTGTTTAAGTGCATAAGCTTATGTAGAAATATCTTAAATGCTTTTTTTAAAACTAAGCAAAATACAAATTTAAGAAAGTGAGGTCAAAGGAAAGGTTAAAGTGAAAAAAGGTTGATGCCCTTCAAAAGCTTACTTCATTTTGTATCAGCATATGAAGTTTGATACATGTAACACTGTCCAGAATGGTTTCTTAAAAACTGAGCTAAATACTAATTTAAGAAAAGTGAAGTCAAGGTCAAAGGAAAGGTCAAGGTTAAAAAAAATGTTGATGCAGTTGAATAGCCCTCATCAGTATGTATCAGCATATGAAGTTTGGTAAAAATATCTTTTTTTTTTCTTTTTTTTTTTTTTTTTTTTTTTTTTTATTGTCCCATCACATGTCCAAGTATATAATAGTGCCAGGGTTGGGGCCCTGGGTTCACTAAGTAACATACATAATACACATATATATTACACAATCATAATGTGACAGGACATTTTTTTTCACATATCATTCACACACCATTCGCTACATAACATGCATATGATTATATTTATAATAATATTTAACAACTGAAATCTTAATATAATCAGTGAAAAGTTGATGTACATCTGTAACTGCATTGTTTTTTCAAATATATTAATCATATTAAAACATTATCAAATTCCATCGTTTTTTAAAACTGTCCATTTCCCCATTTTTCTTATAAATATATTTTTCACAATTAAAATAATACATAACCTCTTGTTTGACCCTCTCAAAAGATGGTTCACATTTTTTGCATCTATTTCTATAAATATGCTTTTTTATTATACATACTACTAAATTAAATATATTGTTATATTTATAATGTTTTCCCAACAAAACATCAACTTTGTTTAGAGATATATCAACTCCAAACTGTTCTTTCATCCAATCCAGTACATTTTCCCAAATTTCTGCAACACACTCGCATTCCCAGAAAAGATGACAAAGTGTCTCTGGGTGTTTCTTACAAAAACTACATAAATCTGAGTCAGTAACACCAATTTCGTATAAATATGTATTTGTAGCTAAAATTCTATGTACAATTCTATAGTGGAGTCATCTTAACTGTATATCATTTGTTATGTTAAAAAACAGAATGTTTTGTTTTTTCCACCAAAATTCATCAACATTTAGTTCTAAAATGTTTTCCCATTTCATCTCACTTTTTGGTTTTTTGTATTTCTGACTAATAGAAACATCATAGAAATCTCTTGCACCTTGTTTGCTTTTTGTTATTGTTCGTAAGAATTTTGGGAAGAAAGGTTAATTTCTTTGAATTATCTTATGATCATAATTCAACTGTAATTTTCTAATACAATTTGTTATGCCTAAAAACATTGTAAAAGGTGTTTTTAAATCATATTGTTTACAAAAGTCTTGGTATCCTAACAGAGTCCAATTTGTATCATAAAAATCGAAAACAAATTGTATACCTTGTCTCAGCCATGACTTATAACAAACACTTCTGTTGTTTATACATATTGATGGATTATACCATATGGGACTTAAAATAGATGTTTGATCATCAATACATAATCTCAAATCCAACAATGCTGAAAAAACATCATTCCAGAAAACATTTTTCGTATCTTTCTTAAGTTTTTTTTGAAAAATCCCTACCATAGATAACTAAATATTTAATGTCAGGAATTAAATCTTTTAGCAATTCTTTCCAGGCTGATTTACATGAACTATCAAGCAACCTGCGAATCCATGTAATTTTTAAACTTTTACAAAATGAATCAAGACATGTCAATCTCATACCACCGTTTTCATAACTTTGGCATATAATATTTTTAGCGGTATTCGTTATCTGTTTCCCTTATAATTTTTTTAACATTTGTCACAAATTCTTTGTTTCTCAATAAGGAATTGTTAAAACGCCAGAATCCCTTTCCATGTTTAAATTCATTAATAGTAATATCTAATTCTATGATAGAGTGATCAGTCCTATAGCCTGGCATCATGTGAACATCATTTATAATTGATAAGAGTTCCTCTGATACTAAAAAAAAGTCAAGTCTAGCCTGTTTTACTGGGTTCTTCCTACTCCATGTATATTTTTTAGCATCTGGGTTTTTGATTCTCCAAGGATCTACTAAATTGAATTTTGATTTCAATTTTTCAATTTCAAGTTTATTTTTGGGATTGTTTTCTCTAACATAATTGTAACAGTCTAACTGGTAATCTTGTACTACATTCCAGTCTCCACACATAATTATAAAGTCAGTATCAAAAAAATCATCCATTATATCACTTATTTCTGCATAAAATTTAGGATTATCTTTATTGTGACCATATAAATTAACCAAAGTGATTGAGTACTTGTTATCCACCATTATATTTGATATAATGAAATTCCCCTCATTATCACTATAAACTTTAGAAATTTTTATTTCATTTGTGTTATTAAAAAGGGTTAAAGTCCCTCTTGCATCTGATTTTCCTGAGCTGATGAGTATGTCATTACCCCATTGGGCATAAACTGAATTTTTCTCTAATTCTGTACAGTGGGTGTCTTGTAAACAATAGATAGATGATTTAAAATTTCTTAAATAGTTTAGGACATCCTTTCTTTTCATAGAATCATGTAAACCTCTGCAGTTTACAGAAGTAATTTTTAACTTAGTCATAGATTACACTACACAGTTGAATAAAGGCAAAAAAATATGCATGTTGCATACTCTCCATTCTTTCACACATATATCAAAAATGAAAAATACTTCCTGTATGGTAACAAAACAAATCAAGAAAATTCATGTATTACATCGCATTGGGTCTTTTTAATTTAACTTAGCCACCTAAATAAGATAGTGAACCATAGTTGTCTCAGAGAAAAAATAATAATAAGTACAAGTTCCTCTATGAACTTCTACCTAAAAACACGAATGTCTTCACGTAAATAAGAAAACTATCTGCAATGCCTCGTATCAGATATTAATGTTCACTTAAGAAAACAGAAAAAAACGACCCTCTGCTCCTTCTCACTTCACGCCATTTGCGCAGCCACACCGGAAGTCCTGGTAAAAATATCCTGAATAGTTTCTTTAAAACTGAGCTAAACACTAATTTAAGAAAAGTAAGTCAAGGTCAAAGGAAAGGTCATGATCATGAAATGTTGATGCAGTTGAATAGTTCTCCTCCATGTGTATCAGCATATGAAGTTTGATAAAAAGATCCTGTCATAGTTTCTTTGAAACTGAGCTTTAAACTGTGCTAAATACAAAGCATAACAGAGGGACAGAAAGACGGAAGATAGACATGACAAACTCTATATGTCCTAACCATATTCATGTATTCTGATGCATTGTATTTAAACACACATCTATAAATGTCTTTATAGTACTAATACATGTCCCCCAAAAATGGCTAACCAGTAATCTGAAATGAAGAACTTTGCGATCTTGCTAAAAAAAATAATAATACAGTCAGGGTTTAACACTAAGGCATGTCAGACCAACTTGTTAAATGAATCGTATGTTTGTGTGCATTTGTATGTGAACTAGACCTTTTGGTCAGGTTGATAACGGTTAAATCCTTTTCAGTCTTTTGAATAAATATATACAAAATTGTAAAAAAAAAAATTATCTTATTTGTACAAATGTAAGCACAACCTTTGCTCTGTATGTTGAAATCCCTTCATAACACAATTGTTATTTTTAGCAAAAAAATTTTTTATAATATATATTTTTAGCTGTAGTAGACAAGTCTGGGTTGAAATGTATCAATTGATATGGTGTAAATGCTTACCAAATAACACTTTCTGTATTTATTAATATTTAGGATAATAATTTTAGTAAAGTTTGTTGAATGTCTTTAAGGCTCATAATTTTCATGTCCCAATTAATGAACCAGACTCAAAATGGATACTCTGTCAGAATCTTGACACACATGAGAGATAGTTTCAAAAGTTACCAATTAAAATTAGCAATTATAAAAAGTTTCGTCAAAGCAAGTGATTTTATGGTTAGTAATTCAAATTATGGAAGGTAGCCTGACATGTCTAGTACTTGTTAAAATAAATGTCAAACCTGATACTCAAACCCCGTTATCTCGAACTATCTATGGAACTGTGGAAAAACTTGGAGATATCGGGAAGATTCAAGATGTTAAGGGCAGTGCTCCAAGTCACACTTCCTACCAGGTTGCTAAATGACGACCTAAACTTTTTTTGGTCGCCATTTCAGAACTTCTGGTCACAATCAACAAATATTTCACTCGCCATGGTGAAAAACATTTTGTGAAAACACACATTTACATGTAGCATATAGTAAAAGCAAGGAACAACACTCATTTATGTACATACCATATCTTTTTAAAATTTATCAAAGATTACTTATTACTGTCACTTAATAATTTGCTAGGCTGAAGAAACCACTCATGAAATAGTAGTTCATAGAACCACCCGTATGGTTGTGCAATGAAGAACACAAGTGTTTTATCCTAGAATTAAAATTAATTCAAATGAAATTGCAGCAAGTTTGACTGATGAGTGCATAAGTTTGAACTATTGAGATCTGACTTCGTCAGCTGTTTGTCATGTTTATTTTATGAACCTACGTATTAAACAGTTGTTGTCCACATCGCCAAAACATGATGATATTCAAGCTATACTAGCCAAATGCTCCATTAACAAGATCAGGTTTTAAAAAGAATACAACATTTTGACAGCCGTTCTGTTGACTGTACAGCATGCTTGCATATCATTACCTAATCTCAGTCTTTGCGACGCTTAACAAAGTTTTAGGAAAGTCCTCAAACATTTTCTTGATAGAGAAGCTTGGGAAAAAAGTAATCTTGCTCCCGATCATAAAAATTGACAACCGCCAGCCCAAATTTTCTCAGTCGCAATAATGCGAGTTAGTTTTAATTTCCAATCGCAAATTTAAATTTTTGGCAAATGCGACCATTTTAGTCGCAACTTGGAGCACTGAAGGGTAAAATACTTATTAAATATAATAAGTGATTGGGACTTAAAAATTACTGACATATCCACTGTATTCGAGATATCAGTTTTCAAAATACCTATGTTTAACTGCAAAATCATGTATTCTGTAAATCAACTATTATTCCCGACAATTTTTATTCAGGATTCTTTACCCTGAAATCCATCTGCAACAGTAAGCATTAATTTTTGCAGTGAAGGAAACATTCTACCATAATACAATAGCTGTCACAACTTATGATTGGTTTGTGATGAGAAATATTTGAAAGTAATGAAGGTTGCGAAAATTGCAGATCTTTCTTGCAGGCAAGTTAAAGTTGGTTTACAGATGTAATGGATATATGCCGAATACTGTTCTATATGTAAAATTATCAGACTGTTTGAGGCCCGTTAGGGCCGAAAATGTCTGATAATTTTACATATAGAATTGTATGAGGCATATATCTTACTTAAAACATTGCTATTTAAATGTCCAAAAGTTACCTGGAGGAGTCCGATAAGTACACAATAGGGGTTCAGGCATCAATGGTTTTCTACCTGAAACCATCTAATAAGTAGACAAAAGAAAAGAGAATTTTTTTTTCTGTAGAAGTAAAATCAGTGAGTGAACTCTTTTGTTTCATTCATTCATTCAATGGCAGTCGTTTGGCTTAGCAGAAACTATGGACAGTGGTCAGGTGATGAAGGATTTTTTTTATGATTCGGAATATTTTTTTTTTATTAAGTGCGTTTGACATTGATACAGATACAGTGTTGGATGATATCTTCAAAATGCATTTAAAGTAACAATGCGGATTTTTATCTAAAATTTTGATTGGATGACATAATGAAAATCTTGGGTTTTAAAAGCGCGGTCATTGGCGAACGAACCGCGCAAAATGAAGAGATTCGCAGACTGTTTTTTTTTTAATCATAAATGGATTTAAATTGGCTTATTCACAGTGCTGTATCGAAAACGCTTTGCAAAAAACCGAATGGAAAGTGTTACTTTTGAGGAAGGTTAAAACTCCAGTTTCTTCTTGGATTTGCTATTTTTGCTTAATTTCCTCGCGTACGTTTTCCCTGATTTTTTTCTTTGGTTTCTGGACAAATTAAACCTTGATTTCACTCTAGTTGTTGTTTTTTAACTGCTGTCCGATTTGTTATCACTGCCGTCCGATAATATGTTATTGGACTGTTAATTATTATTATCGGACGGCTACAGGTAAATTTTTAGACTGCAAGAACAAAGGCATGACGTCACAGCAATGTTTTAAATCATGTTTATATACTGAACTTTACAGGGTATAATAACCAAATCTTACCATTCAAAGTAATTTAATGTTTCCCTAAGTATGACATCTTCTTTCATCAACTGCCATCAGAAATTCGAATACTTAAGCCAGTTCCAATATCCTCCTATGCAAACCCTTCCATGTGAACTGACATTGGGTCTCCATCTGATTCTTAGCCACTCCAATTCTTGATTGTCCCCATATCTTCAACGAGAAAAAGAAGTCAACTCAACCTAAGATCAATAGCTTCCTTAAACTGAAGTCTTCTTAAATAAAAGATGCTCTAAAAGAGGTTAAATGTACAACAACGCTCACTTGAGCCATTCCAGCTCTGCTGTTCTTCAGAAACTTTTTTATCTCCATGAAAAATTGTGACCTCATAATGTGACCTAACCTACCTCCAATAATACTGCATCTTTTCTTGCTTTGTAACATACAAATTAATAATTAACAAGCACTCTGAGAGTATTGCATTAGCAATACTAGTCCCCTATCGCCAAGTGTAAGCTGGTTCCCGTTAAGAATTGAAAATGCCATAACTCCGTCAAAAATCAATGAAGCAGGACGAAATGCAAACTTGATCCATAACTTATCAAGGCAAAGTCACATAACAAAAATCAGCTCAATATCTGAAAGCGTTTAAAAGAAAATTGCAGAAAACCCTTAAAAATTGAAAAGGCCGTAATTCCGTCAAAAATCAATGAAGTGGAACGAAATGCAAACTGATCTGTAACTCATCAAGATACACTCACATACCAAAAATCAGCTCAATATCTGCAAGCATTTACGAAAAAAGTACGGAAAACCAAGTGGGACAGACTGACAGACAGACAGAGGGACAGACAGACAGATGGACGGACAGACTCAGAGGAAACCTTAAACCTATAGTCCCCTCTGGTTTCACCGGTAGGGGACTAATATCTAAAAAAAAATCGGGGGGGGGGGACTACTTTAACATTTCCACCACCATACATCCATGTTTTTAAACCCAGAAAGACCAGCAGGGGGAACAACGTAAACATGTGGCATACCTTTCTCTCTTATAATGTACAGTGGGGTATTTTTTGTGTGGAACGATTATTTTAGGGTTTTACAGATTTATTCCTATGGTAAAACACCTGATAAATAAGTGTAATAAATATAATTTCTGAAAAAAAAAGTCCAAGTCCTAAGGGAGGGGGGGGGGGGGCTATCCATAAGTACCTGTGCTGCTGACTTGTGGGGAATATTTTTCACTTTTTATCACCGTTGACTTGTGGGGAATATTTATCACTGTTGACTTATGGGAAATATTTATCACTATTTATCATTGTTGACATGTGGGGAATATTTATCACTGTTGGCTTGTGGGGAATATTTATTATCATTGTTGACTTGTGGGGAATATTTATCACTTTAAACTCGTGAGGAATATTTATCACTACTGGCTTTTGGAGAAATGCATTATTAAGGTCTTCCGCTCCAGGCGGAAGACCTTCTACTGATTCTGATGGTTAAGATTATTCTTATTATTCTTTTTTTTTCCCGACGCCAACTTTGAGACCTCATATCTCGCTCATTTCTCAACGGATTTTGCTCAAATTTGCAGGGTTTATAGACGTTACACAACTCTATCAGAATATTGTCAAACATTTCAAAAATCCACTTCCGCTTTTGGGTTATTTCCCTTTAAATGAAAATTTAGGGGGCTTCATTTCCAGACAAAGGCTCAAAGACTACAAAAGCTGGAGTAGAAATTTTACCGAATTTAAATAATAGAAGCACTGAAGTTGTGCACATCGGTTTTTGTTTTTCAATTTCTGTATTCAAAATGGCGCTAGAGAGGGGTAAAAAATTAGAACGCCTAAAAGAGCGAAAATTTACACATATTTTCCTTTTTATCTTCTAAACTAAAAATATTTTGATAAGACATGTAGAATAAAAGTTGTGCACAATTTTAAGGCCTTTCATTTTACACCACTAAAAAGGGTCTGGCCCCTAACATTAGGGATCTGGGGCCCTTTAAATTTTTTGCTTTATAACTCAAAAATGGTAAATATTTCGAAATAGCTGTCGGAAATAAAGTTGTTCTTTAACATCTTATTGATCTCATGAAAACGTTAGTTTGTTTGAGTCTTGTGTTCTAAATGAGCTAGAAGCATAACACAAATACAGGTAAGTGTTTTCATTCAGCAAGTAAACAAGAGCTCTTCATGCGTGTAATTAAGATAAACTTAATATAAATAATAAACTTGGCTACATTAGATGCTAATATTCTTTAGAATCAAGTTCTTGAAGTATTCTGTGCTTTATTTCCAAATTATTTTCTGACAACTTTCCCTTTTTATTCGTTTGTTTTCAAATTTGGATAAACCAGTCTACTAAACAGGGGGAAAAAGATAACCTTTTCTTCTTATCATATAAAAACAAACAATAACGATAGAAAATAAAACAAAACTTTAAACATAGATTATTCACAGCCATTAAGTACACGCCTTTTACATTCACCTTGTGTGTTTACAATTATGTAACCCCTCCCTC